GAGGGAGGGAAGGAGGGAGAGAGGAGTGAGAGAGGGAGGGAGGAAGAGAGGAAGCGAGAGAGAGAGGGAGAGGGAGAGAGGGAGAGAAAGAGCGAGGAAGGGAAGATGAGAAATGAGGACAGAAAATTGAGGAAGGGCAAGCGACAATGGCCGATAGTGGCAGAGAGGAAGAGATATAGAGAAAGGAGAGAGAGAACGAGAGTAGGGAGAGGCATAGAGAACAAGAAAGGAAGGGGAGAAAAAAAGAGAGACATGAACGAGATGACGGCGTGGACAGAGTCAAAGAAGAAGGGAATGGCGGCAGACAGAGAAGGAAGAAGGGGAGGGAGTTGGAAGAACGCCATTTGATTCCCACGGCAAACCTTCATCGCCAGCAGACCAATCCGACGGAGGACGAGCACAGGTGATGAAGGCGGGGAAAGTCCAAGTCCAAGAAAAATCACAGACGTGAAAAGACCGAGGTAGAAGAGTGACACAGAGAGAGACAAAGAACACGAAAAAGAACGAGAGAGAGAGAGAGGCGTACCTGAAGTACTGCAAGGTTGGAAAAAGCTCCGAACACGACAGTGGCAACAATGACATGCGACCTGTTTTGGGCAGACGAAGACTCCGCCGGGGGCAGCTTCCAACCGACTATGAGCCCAACGTCACCCGGAGGGAGAACCCGCTGGCCACGCTCAGTTCCCGAGCAAAACTGGGAGCAGGAGGTGGAGATACTTCCTCCCTGATCGCTGCCGCTGAGCAGCATGTGCTCCGGCCACCAGATCTGGCACAGCCTCGATTCCTCCTCACACTCGCCAGGCTCGGGGCCGGGCTCGAGCATGTCGTCTCCAACAACGCTGCTGCGCCTCGGCACATGGCAGGAGATTCCCAGCCTTCTACCCACACTGTCTCGTGCTTCCATGCACTCATGAACCCTTCCTCGCTATCCTGACTCACCGCATCCATGCACTGCCTCCCTGTCCGCTTTTACTGAGCACTATGCTTCCACTCCCTCCCTCTTTCCCCTCTTCCCCTCTGCTCCCTCTCTCTTCTCCTCTCTCCCTCCCACCTAGCACATAACCACGTGAGTATGCCGTTCCTAACCTGTCCTGTCGAATCTTCCGCAGCGCGCCCAACCTCTCATGCGCTCAAAATTGAACTCAAACATAACTCCTTCGCTCAAAATTTTCAACTACACAAAACTGACGACTATCTTCAAGCTCCGCGTGTTCTACATTTGCGCGCCTCTCCGTGCGTCTTGAGGGGTAGTGCAATACAGTGCATGTTCGTTCTGCTTGCTTCCAAGCTTCCCCGCCGGACAAACTCCGCGTTTGATGCTGTCTGCGTGGCTCGACGGACTACGACCGGCGCGGGCGCAGGCGTCTTCGTCGTAATGGTCATCCTCAACCCGACGCGGGAGAAGGTGTTCAGCGAGGCAAACCAAGAGACTTTGTTATGGTCATCCCGAACCCGACGCGGAAAAGGTTGTTTCGGCGGGGCGACGAACCGAGGGCCGGGCAACCCGGAAGTCAGACCGAACTCTGCATGACATTCAGGGCCACAGGAATCAAGGACCAGCCATGGTGATGCTTCTGAGCACCGCACCCTATGCGTGATTCGGCGCTATGTACATTAGCACTAAACTCGCACGGGCCTGGAAGGTCTTTTTTTTCCTCTTTCCTCCTTTCCCCTCTGTTGACATAACATCATTGAACTGACCAGCCTCAGGGCATACTCACACGGAGACCCCGAATCCGCAATTTGGGAAGGGCCGATTTCAGGTTTTGGGCACGGTTCACGTCACACTGCTGTGCCTTTTCAATTGGGACAAGGTCGCGGCCGTCTGGAGAAATGGGGATTTGGTACTTGGCTGGTCACACGGCGCCATCCACTAATTTGCAAGAACTTCTGTGAACGAATTTTTGCCAATTTTCGAAGAAGAATGCAACAAATGAAAAAGTGCATTTGCGTCAGCAGAACCCAAGTTCGAACCACTGTGGAAAGAGACTGTGGAAAGAGCTGGAAGTGCTCCCGAACGGTAAGCAGGTAAGTATCCTCTGGTTGCTATCTCTCCTAGTCACACCTTCCGCTGTTTGGCTGCTGAGCCGCGGAGTGACAGTAGAACTGGGTTGCTCAAGGTGCAGATGGCCATTCGAATCCACACAGCACCTGTGGTGGGAGTGTCCTGCATCCAAGCGAGTGTGGAAGTGGTGGGAAGACCACTGGAAGGAGATGGGGGGCCCACAGTTAGAGCGGAACGAGCATTGGGTACTACTGGGCTTTCTCCCTACAAGCGTAAGTGGAAAGAGAGGCTGGGGGTACGTCGCTCAAGTGACCAGAGGCATTATCTGTGAAACCATCTGGGCAGACAGGAACAGGGCAAGGTTTGAGAAACATCCCCTGTCTGACGCAGAGATCAAGAGAAGAATCAAAGAAGGTCTCAAGCACGCCATCACAGTAGACTGGCGAAGGAAAACCCGAGCATGGAAAGGCAGCAGGGAACAGAAAACTTGGTTCCTCCGCACCTGGGCGCGTGACAACCGGTTGGCTGCAGTCCACTCAGTTCGAGGGTTAGTAGTCTCAAAATAGATCATGGAATAGGAGGGCTAGCAAGCTAGTGGAGCAAAATATTCCGATAGGTTATAAAGTCTTTGTGTGATCAGGGCACTCGATCCCACAGAGGTGCCGTAGAATAGGCAATGTGACCACCCACGAACCAGGACACTCGGTTCAGTAGGGTCGAGGTGGGCTTCTTAGGTGAGTGTCAGTAGGATCCGGAAGTTTTCCTCTGGGCCATACTAGTCCCAGACCATTACTTAGGGGAGACTAGACTCTACTGTTGATAGGTAGTTGAGTTCAGTTAGGTAATGGGAGTAAAACCGGTGCAGGAATAGGAGGTTCAATCTTAACTAAACTTGAGAGCAAGATTATCGTGTTTCAGGGCCAATTGAATTTGCGATGACATTTAGTTCTGTAACATGGAATTCCAGTAGCGCTGGGTTCCGCAGGCAAAGCCTGTAAGCTAAGCTGGCTGATGCTGTCATATACTCCGGGTTGACTTGTGAGGTCCCCGGCCTCGAGTCTATTTTTGCAATGAATTGAGTATCACCAGTACCTTTGCCGCTTGGAAAAGAGCGGGACTCGGGTAGGCATCCGACGTTTGCAGCGGCCGAAACGAAACGACGGTCGCCGATCAGATTTATCAACGGTAGTCGTCGTCGGGCCTGACCTCCGAAAAATCAGGCGCTTGGGAAAACTGCCAGTTTTCCCTATTTTCCCATGCGGGAAAGGTACTAGTGGGGAAAAAAAAAAAAAAAAAAAAAAAAAAAAAAAAAACCATTTGCGGTCACCTCCAGAGGTGATCGCAAAATCCCTTGCCCTTCCCAGGCCGCAGACAAATGGGCACTGGAATAGTACAGTTGGTAGATCCGTGTGACCGGCCTTTTACCCTTTTTTTGGGATTTTGGGATTATAGGTCCCCGTGTGAGTATGCCCTCAGATAAGCCAGAATGAATTTAACGTTCACCTGGCTATTGGTCTCGAGTCACTACTCTCGATATGCACAAAAGGTGAATGGTTCTTCTAGTTGTTTGCTGATGTCCAATGGAAGTCTTGTTGATGTGTGCTTCCACAAGTCGCTTTCATCTCTTAGATGTTGCAGTAGGACGTTCGGCTGTCTTTGTGAAGTCAGGATGTCCTTGAAATAAGCGAGAGCATACTCTCCTATTGTTGCAGAGTCCTTTGCTGGGGCTGCCTCGTGGAAGAAAGGATGATGCATTTCTCTCATTAGGCCGTGGGGCCTTGGCGGGCAGATTTGCTTGAATGTGTCCTTTAACATGCGATCCCCAGTAATCATGCCTCGCTCTTGTGCTCTACTGGCCCACAACACTTGTTGCTCAATTTGGATGGGCTCAAGTCGCCGGAGGGCGTGGTTTCTTTGGTGTTGCCAATAGAGTTCCGTTAGGGGGCATTTATCTAACTCCGCCTCAGCTTCAGCGATCATAGATCTGTACTTGTACTCCTCATTCCTTCTACCCCTCGCCTTGATCCTAGAGAATACGTCCAGAGCTCGTGTGACAATCCAAAAGCTTGTTTGCAGTCATTCCTCCTCCGCCTCAAAGTCGCCCTTTTCGTTTTGCCAACTGTTCCAGTGGACCTCCACCCATTGAAGTATGTTGGGATCTTTGAGCATCTCAGTATTCAACCGATATGTGTCTGGTCCCCTCAGCAGCTGGTCTGCCAGTCTAAAACTGGCAGTCACGGGTCGATGGTCTGACATAGACTCAATCGCTTGCTTCACCTCGGTGAGTGCGTCCCAGGCTGCTTCTGCTATATTGGTTATTATGGAGGATCTTATAAAGTAACAAAAGGTCTACATTCTACACATATAAAATTTTTTCCTATTCTATTAATAATTTGATTTATTAGATATTTATTTCCTATTTTGGTATCATATACTATTTATGTCTATATTCTATGTATATTTATTATGTATATTTATTATGTAGGCACGAACAAGGTTCATGATATTCTTGAGATTATCAAAGGGTTCCCATGTTGATTCTTCATCAGGGTATCCGGTCCATTTTACTTTGTATTCATTGATTGGTTCGTGGTGATCTGATACTTGAGTTGTTCTTCGTCCTATGATTGACTCGACTATGAATTCTGGGCCTGTTCGAAGCATGATTGGTAGAGGTCTATGATAAGGGCGGTCAACGAACTGGCTCGGGGATTCGTGGTATTCCTTGAGGTATTCTACGTGGAAGACTGGGTGGACGCAACGCATGTCAGGTGAAAGCTGAAGTTTGTAATTCACGGGAGAGGTTTGTTCAATGATGGGGAAGGGACCGAGCCACTTGTTCGAGAGTTTCTTGGACAAGCCTTGTTCAAGTTCAAAGCGTTTGGTAGAAAGCCAGACTTTGTCCCCTACTTTGAATGACACGTCATGTCTGTGTTTGTTGGTCTTGTTGGCTTGTTGTTCTTGTGTTCTTTCAAGGGCTTCGGTTGCTTCTATGAGGAGTCTGTTCATTGTTGCTACCCATTCATTGAGAGAAGGGCAAGGGGTGGAGGGGCTGAGTTGCGAGGGAAGCAAGAAGTCAGAGGGCAAGCGGGGATGGTAGCCAAGGTCGAGGTAGAAAGGGGACATGCCAGTGGAGGGGCAGACAACGTTGTTGTAGGCAATCTCGGCGGCTGTGAGCAACTGATCCCAATCGTGTTGGTGTGGATGACAATACTTCCAGTCTTCCGCAGGATTCTTTGGAGTGTATCGTTCATCTTCTTTATTTGTCCATCGGTCTGTGGGTGGAATGCAATGCTATACTTGAGCGTGGTTCCGTAGGCCGTGTAGAGGTGTTTCCAGAATTGTGAGAGAAAGCGAGGATCCCGGTCATTGATGATGTTCTCGGGGAGGCCGTGATGGCGAGCAACATGGTCGAAGAAAAGTGTGGCGACGTCTTTGGCACTGTGTGAGGTCGTGCAAGGGACGAAGTGGGTACGTTTGGTCAAGCGGCAGACAATGACGTAGATGCAATCATGCCCGCGGTCGGTCTTGGGGAGGCCGCACACCAAGTCCATGGAGATGGACTGCCACCGATGAGTTGGGATGGGCAATGATTGAAGCTTGCCGGGTCTGGCCCGGTTCGAGAGGTTGACAACCTGACATGTGGGGCACGAGCGAATGTATGCCTTGACGTCAGCGAGTAGGGAAGACCAGTAGAAGTAGCGGGAGATGGTGTCGAAGGTTTTCTGGAAACCGAGATGTCCTGCGGTCTTGGCGTCGTGGTGATCGGCCAAGAGCTGAGTACGGAGGCCCCTGTATCCTAGCTATATCTTGGCATAAACCCCGCTAAACCCTTGCAACCCTGCTCTACACACACACTTGAACCCAGTCCACCCTTCCCTTGATCCTCATTCCTAATGTCTGATTTGCCCTTGCCCTCGCCTAACCTTGTCCCATCTATCCTCTCCTCTACCGTGTTTCTGTTGTCTAATGCTTGTGAACTTGCATGACGCCGTCGATAAAGGATCTAATGGCAAGCGCACGAGGATGATGGTTTGCTGCCTCACTGTTCATGGAGATTATACAGCTGGTTTGGCCACCATGCTGTTTCATTGGCCGGCATCCCGACTCGCGGACTTACTGGAGCAACAACTTGTGACATGGATCTTTGCACTAGTCTGCGACTTCCTTGCTTCCAGATCAGACCTCATTGCAGTTCGTGTACCGGACGCACCCTAGTACTTGGACTTTGACACTTGAACTACTACTACRCTTYTTGGACTTCTACCTATCRCAGYTGYTGAAGACCGCTTCTACCACCTACTCCAAAGACCTGATCAAGACCGCTGCAGACCCCCTTTC